ATATAATAGGCGAATATATAATATAAATGATAATACACAATAATATAATATAGTAGTATATAATGCATATTTACACATCATTTCTTTTAGGTACTATTGGCGATTGGAAGAATTACTTCACAGTTGCGCAGAATGAAGTCTTTGACAAACTCTATGAAGACAAATTGAAAGGTTCCGGACTTGTATTTGATTTTGAATTATAAAGCTTCAGTTTCATCGCAGATAGATATTTTCAATCAGTTATCAAACTGGCTATTACCTGAAATAATTCAATTGCAGTATCTAAAGGACCATGCAATAAATCTGCCAGAAAAACATTAAAAAACGCTTATTGAACTAAAGGATAAGAAACTAGTAAGGAAATCATGGATTGGCTATTTTGCAATTATTGAGCATGGTCATGATGAGACCCTGACAAATTATAGAATGAAATGAAAGATATTAGCTGTAAGAATAAACAATTAATTTATCTAATAGACTGTGACTGAATACTTTACAAATATTATGTAAATAATACTACATTATTTGTTATAAACCAAGACGAAATAAAAAAAAAATGAATGAGACTTTAAAATAAAGTAAAACCTGAAAAAACGAAAGCATTCTTGGTTTGTTTTTTGTTTGATCATGGAGCTACAGTAGCAAAACTAGCCTCTATTAAATGCTAACTGTTAATAATGACATTAGCATCTAGCCTATATAACATTCTGTACGCAAGATGCACAATATGCTGCTCATAAATCCAAAGAATCCAATTGATTTGAAAATAGCGAATATTACTTTAGTGCATACAATGACATATTTGGCAAACGGTACAGTCAAGAATACTACCAAGATACTACAGATTAAATTATTTATTTATATATTTATTTATTCGTACTAACCAACAGCGATAACAACCGCCACTAACAGGTTATAATACATATACAATATTTATGTAAATAGATATAAAAGTACATTAAAAAGTACTAACAACTTTTGATTTAAAAACATTTAAACTGTCAAAAAATATTAATATCAATATTAAACATACAAAACTTATAACAATCACATAAACGTTTAAATAAACCTCTACATGTGCATTTAGACAAATATAAATTGATGTATATGGAAAAAAATTACAAATTTAAATGCTTACTCAGAAAACAGCGTGGTATGCATGTTGACAGATAGAGAAACTGCAGCCTAATTTTATATCTTTAATAATTGTCTATATCCAAATTCACAATCTCAATCTTTTATAAATTATTCAATGCCAAATACTTAAATCATTATGTATTTTTGTATACCGTAAAACCTCGAATTGAAGCCCAATGGGCTTGATAATAATAATAATAATAATAATAATAATAATAATAATAATAATAATAATAATAATATTTATAAAGCGCACAAATCACTGCAGTAGTGCTCAACTGAAGCCCCTTCGTTAGTTTGCAAAATTAGACTCGAAAAGCAGCACATCTCGAAAAGAAGCCCATGGACTTCCTTTTGAGATAGCATGGCCTTCTTTTCGATATAGTACAGTGCATACACTGTACATGAATTTCAAAAAACATAAATTAAAAACACGCTTGGTTTATAAAGTGGTTTTATAGGTGATTTAATGTCGGTTAATACACTCCACAGATTGGTGTTACAGTGGCCTCATTTATTGTTTTATAGTACAAACTCACAAAATTTACAGCATTCATTTTGATAAGAATCCCCCCTTTACTTTGCAAAAGTAGCCTCGAAAAGAAGCCCATCGCGAAATAAAAGAAGCCCAGGGCTTCAATTCGAGGTTTTACGGTAGATTAATTACTATGTACCTCTTATTAAATCAATGTTATATGTAAAAAATGTGTATGCCTATTTAATGTAGACTGATTTTTTTAAATATATTTTTTTGTACAGTATGTCTATAAATTCCAAGAACAATCTCATATGACTAGTCTGATGACAATACAATATTTTTGGTCAAGCATTTCTGGAAATTAATTAATTATCTTAATTCTGGATACACACATGAACATTTTGACACGTAACACGTAAACATGGCACGTAAAATAAAATGCTTTCTTAGAAAGTACAGTGCGTGCAACAGTAACTTTATTTTGTACAGTAGTATATTTCAAAATTCAGATATAAAAGTAGGCCTATTTATTTAACAAATTAAATCAATACCGTAACTACACGCATAGACCTTTATTATGAAAAATTCAGAAGTTGATAAATATAATTAGGCCTATGTACTGCAAACTTGACTTTTCATTTCTGGAAACTGCAAGAAGAAAAAGAACATTATTTTTCAATATCGAACACTACATACTGTACTGGAAAACACTCTAATAATACAGGTATATTCATATTAATTGTAATTAAAAATTCTAAAACAATAAAACTCGTGAAAAACTTATAATAATCATACTGAAGATACAAAAATGTATTATGTATTGTCAAGCATCGTAAGAAAGACAAATTAAATAAGTAGCATTACTAAGTATAACAGAACGTAGGAATTTGTTAGGGGCGAATGTGTATA